CATTCCCGGAAGCTCCCTATATTGACCAACTCAGGTTTGCGGGCAAGGCGCAATCCGAATGTCGCGATGAATGCTGCTGGTGTCTCAGTTTCTTCCGCTGACTGGCATTGTGTCGGGGATTTCTGCCGGCATCGCAGCTCTGTTGGTAGAAGTTGGAAAGTGGGGTCTGTTGGTAGAAGTTAGATAGGGTCGCAGCACTTGCGCAATTTCCAACAAAGTGCGCAATAAAGTTGTCGGGTGTTCCAGGAAGACCCCCTGGACTTTGTGGGCAAGACTGGAAAGAGGCGATTAATTTTCTGGCGCATTGCACAGCTACGGCGATTCGAAAATGCCTGCACAGACCCATGAATTGAGTTTGTTAACTCGACATCATGGAACAAAGACATGAACAAGAATGTCAATGAAGATTGCAGAATGCGATTGATATTGAGGATGTTTTGTTCCCGGCAGCTTTCGTGGGAACAAATCAATGTTTCTATAGCAAAGGTTGGTCTTGCTCAAAACAATTCAAAACATGTACACTGAATGCGCTGTGATTCTCGGGGCGAAGGATAGAAGCCAACTCTGAAAACGAGCAGCTCGTTGACCTCGCCGCGCAGCTGCGTTGGGTTTCGCTTGGCACTGATGGGAGAATTGTAAAACTGCGTTCAAAAACTGCAGCAGGTGTTGGCTCTTGTAATGAACCAAGAAAAATATAGAAAAATTGTAATTTGCATTCCCTGACTTGAATTCGGTTGGGATCATTGCATTGCGAGGATAACTTTTGGGCGATTTTCTTCACAATCGCTGGCGCCGCTTGGCTGGAAGCATCAGATTGTGGGTGACAGAGTTTAGACATGACATTGAGCCCGCCTGGATTGCAACACAGTGGAAACTTGAGGTCTTCAAAACATAGAAGCCAAGTCTAAGCATGACAGGAATTTAGTCGTACATATTTGTACTTTGGAAGACAATGGTCAGCGTTTGTATCCAGGTGGCGGCTACGTATTTCTTTGTCACCTTCATTCAGGGTTTCAAGCAATGCCCCCAGTGTGGCATTTCACTCGTCCAAGGCAAGAACTTGTTTTCCTTAGATTTACTTGTGTTATGATGATGACGTTGATTGTGACCACACGGTCGACAAATGTCGATAATAGTGTCATAGGTGGCAAGAGAAGCAAGAGATTTATGAGCATTTTGCTTGTGAGCACCAGTGTTTGTGAATGACTCCCAAGTGCCAAGTGCCATATCAATAGACGAAAACGTTGACCACCATCCATCATCTCCGGATCCTTGATTCAGCAGTGCGCTGAACGTCACCGGGAGGCACCTTTGAAACTTTGACAATCTGGCAAAACCAAGCCTTTTGAATTGCTCAGGCCCACCTGAATCATCATACTGATAGGGTTCCTTGCAAAGTTGCGAGGAAAGCCTGTACAATGTGCGTTGAGCTGTTTATTTTGCGTATCGATGATAGGGTTGCATTGTTACGATAATTACTACATTTCATGGTTCCCAATTTCAAAACATATAATATATATATAAAATAGAAAAGAATAGATATACAATATAATATAGTATAAATCGATTTGTTGATTATCGCGAATGACGGGTCCGGATTTATTTATATTAAAAGAAGATGATGATGCAAAAGAAATCTTTGGAAGGAATTATATATATGCCGATCGCCGAAATTGTTTCCGATGACGAGGATAAAAGGTTTTTTTAATTCATGCAGAAATAAATATATTGAAATATATTTAATATTTTTAATCGACGATGAAATTTGAATTAATTTACTATAAATGAAAAATGCATTAAGAAATAATTAATATGTATTATTTATATTTTAAATATATTTTTATGTTTTTTTAATTGATTTGGAATTGATTATTGTATTATAAAAATACAATTTATTATATAGAAAATATTTAATATTTATGGATCATATTCTGATATAAATTTCTTAAAATATGTTCGTTTCGTGAAACATTACCCGAAAAAATATATAAATGTGGAAAATTCTTTTGTATATAGGAAAATATCTTTATATGTTTGATAATATAATTTATTTAAAAAAAATTAAATAAAATATAATATATTATATATTTTATTTACCTAAATCTTCTAAATATATAATATTGCAATATTTTTAGCAAATTAATGAGTAAATTCCGAAAAGATAGGGATATATATATATTATTTCTATTAATCCATATGGGTTCCAAAAAAAAAAAATAATTCTCATATTGAAGAATAATCTAATTTTCTTTCGATATAATCGACGATATTTAATAGAAATTTAATAAAATGATAAT